GTGTTATTGTCTACATATAAAACCCCTCATAACCAATATGAACCTGTTCCTAGACAATGATAAGATACTCGGTGTATTAAGTTTGGCAAAATGTCTATACCTTGTCATGCCAATAAGTTATGGAAAATGAAACACTGATTGATTGACCTGAACATGATTGGCCATGAGGTAGAACTGCATTGTTACTCTCAGAAACTAAAAGGAATACCCAGAAGCCCTGTTATGTTTGTAGCTAGTGTATTATTTTAACTATTTCAATATCACAATGCACAGATGGAAGGCAGCTTTTCCAGGCAGTGTTGTGCCAGGGCATTCTATATACCTAATGTACTGCAGATAAAAAGATAAGGGTCAAATTCAACAATGTCTATGTTTGTCTTCTTAAATGTGGATTCCAAGCCAAACCAAAAAATAATCTTTCTGCTTGCATGCTGTTTCTGGTGCAGGCAGGTTTTTTTATTGAATTTGACTTGCCAGTCATTTTTTAGCCAAGACATTGTAAGCTGTCAAGGATCTTGATTTCCAGAATCAAGAATTCACATACCTGAAGAATCAGCTTTCTTCCATGATGTTTTGCTGAATGTAATGGCATTTGTTTAAGGTAAATAACAATTGACTGTGAAATAAAATAGAATTGTCTGAAATAAGAAAGAAAAGAGAAATATTACTGACTGAGGATACTTACAGTATCATAAGATGAGTAAGTTTATTGGTGTTAATGAGGATTAACAAGTGAATTGGCTGGTCCCAACATTCTTTTAGTATTGAAATGCTGGGAAACTGTTTAAATATTGATGCATTTATTATGAAAACATCTTTTTGGCATTTGTTTGTAATCAATGCCAGCACTTTGGCACTTACCCATTCAGTGTTTTCCTCATTATCTTCAATGGTATGACTGCGTGAATGACAGAATATGATTATAGAAATGTTGGCACACATTTTCTGAAATCAATGTTTGTATGGAGGATGTCAATTGGAAATATTTAGAAATCTATCAGAAGTTCAAGTGCATTTAAAAGGACATCTGTTTGCAAGAAGCAGTCACGATCAACACTGTTAGCACATGGTATAATGCAACAATGCAGTTACTAAGCATTTTGTTTATGTTAACAATCTATAGTTCATCTGTATGATGCAGTTGCCAATCCTAGCAATACTACAATTGAAAGAATTGGTACCAAAAGGTACCAATAAAAACCATAGTTAACTCATGAGTCTGAATCAAAATTATGTAGATATCATGAAAGTAATTTGTTTTTAGAAGCTAAAGGGCTAAGCACAGGATCTGTTACAAAATATTGTTTGCAATTACAAAGCCAAGGATTTTCTGGCAGACATACGATACAACCAAGCTGCATTCATGTCTATCATACATGGTAGTTTAATTTAGAAATCATAAATTTTCAAACAGTTGCACAGGATTTTAGCCACTTTAATCCATTAGAATAAATTATATAGGCTCATAAATACTCTTTGGCTCATAAATACTAGACTTTATTCTTTTTAAAATAGTTTGTTTATTTTTATAACTTTTTGCCATTTTATGTTAAATATTGCTTATGAAACAGTTCTAATATTTTGTGACAGGAAGGAAATGTTTTTTATAAGATTCCTCTGACATCTTAGCTAGTACTTATTTCTGGTAATCAGCAAACTCACTCTATATTCAGTCCTAACTTTTCTGTACTGAGCTTCATACAGTACCACCAGGTCTAGAACTATAGTGCTTGGGTAAGGCTACTATATATTAGCCTACCAATGCATCTGTAAGCTTAACCACCTGTAAAGGTAGGTCGGGGCCTTGGGCGGGCGACGGGCAGAGGAAGCAGGGGCATAAGGTTTTTTTGTTATTCTAGCTCTTATTTCTGAGGGGTCTGAATTCTGGTCTGAATTATTGTGTTCTCTCTGTTGTGTACATCAAACTAAAATTGAGGTAGAACTATCAAGCACACCATATTTAAAAGGATTAATTGAGTTCAGTGAGGTTTGCAAGTCGAATTTCTTTCATTAAACAAGACAATTTAAATTGAATTAAATATCAAAATCCCATTGACTCCTTCAGCTCCCTGAATGAGAAATTGCATAGATTATCAGAAATGCATAATTAGATTATTTTTGAATGTACATATATACATCATCAGTAATCTAGCTTGAAAATGGGGTGAGAAACAGCTCTGGAAAAAGAAAGAGCAGTTGACAGTAGAAGTCTGTTTATTTCTTTTTTTTATGATTTGAGATAAAGGTGAGGGAAATGGATCTACTGGTACTATGACTATAATCACACATTATACAGTCATGATCCTGTTTTCTGAAATAAATAGCAAAACTTGTATTGACTTCAGCATCTAGTTTTTGTTGTCCTTCAAATAATTGTCTTCATCTAAAAGTGTCTACACTTAACTTATGGTTGCAACACGCTGGGCACATCTACATGTGCAACTCATGCTGTTTTGGTAAACCATCCCTCGGAAGACACCTACACATGCAGTCCCTTGGGAGAAGATTTGCAGCTTATGTACTGCATAACATCTGTGAGGGCTGGGAGGAGCTCTTCCACAAGGTGTGGGCAGGGGAGGCACAGGATGGGGAGGACACCTGGCAGTGGGAATGCCAACTGCAGCAGCAGTGACAGTGATTCTGCCCCTCCCACTGAGGACCTGGGGGAACCACACACCTGGCAGCAGGGCCAGGGCACCATGTGTGAGAGGTGCTGGCAGACCACCTTCTCTTGCACTCCCTGCTGTAGGTACCTGGCTGGCTGACCATGGACTCCAGGCCCACCATGCACCCCCAACACCACACTCACTGTGGACAGTTTTCAGCAAAAGTCTCTATTTCCCTCCACAAACACAGACCACATCCCACCCTCCCTCCCCAACTACAGACTCCCTCTCATGCTCCCTTCCCAAACACAGACCCCACCACCAATATAGCACTGTCTTCCCACTACAAATAATTTACATTGAACTATATGCCCTCATGGGGTGGGGGACAGTGGGGTGTGATCTAGTGCAGGGGATGGGAAGGCAGCCCAGCTGGGCTGTTTCCACAACCCCAGGCTGATGGTCTGGTGATATGTTGAAACTGCATCAAAACAGCCTCACTGTTTCATTGAAGCAAAACAGTGAGGCTGTTTCAACTCAAAATTAAATTCAGTACAAAACACTGTTCCGTCCAGACCTCAGAACTGAAGTTGGAATGGAACAGTGCCGTTTTACACAGCCCTAGTGCTAATCTAACTCACTTACTGTCCCCAGTAGCCTTTGATCCTCGCTACCTCACACTGTATTTTTATATATTTCTCACAGTGCATTTTCATATTTCAGCTGTCTCATCTTTACAAGGGCATTTTGTATTTTATACTTTTAAATGCTTAAGGAATGTACTTCCTGTAGAATGAAGTTACACCCTGGACCATTGTTAAAACTGCATTGAAATTGTAACTGTAAAGTGATAAAGTCTGTTGAGTGAATGCAAGTGAATGATGATCATCAGTAAACAATAGCCTAGCCAAAGGAACTCCATTTTAAGCTAATCAAGCTAAAGAACTGATTCTTGGAACTGAGCACTCACCCTATGGACTATTCTTGTAACCCATGACAATACAGCCATTAAGTCAAGAAGTCAAGGGTGGACTCCCAAAACTTCAGGTACCAGCAGGCAGAGAACCCTATGACTAACAGCTGTCAGGTACTACTCAAGACACACGTGGGACAGTGACCTCTGGATTGGGTAGCCAAGATGATGCTGGGGGATCACACAAGTCTACCAGAAAGGGCTAAAAGCCAGTGAAGTATGATGCTCAGTGGCACCCTCTCAGCCAGCACCTGGCCTACTGAGACAGAAGGACAAGCAGGTGACCCCCTTCTGGAGAAGACATCACCTTGAAGGAAGCTGACTATCAACAGCAGACTCCAGGGCCTCAGATAGGTAGATATACTACCTGGCTGCAGAAGTTATTTATTGCTAAGTATATGAAATTTATGATGGTACTAGTAGTAATAGACGTGCAAGGGAAAACAAACAAAATGATTACAATATTACCCTGGTTTCATTGAGTATTTGAAGAAAAGTAGCTCAAGCTTAACTAATACTAATTAGGTTCAGAAATCTATTCCTAGAGAGAAAGAGAGAAAGTGAGAGCTGGGATCTCAACATTCCAATGCGCTCAGGTTGTTTGCTGACAGGTAAAGTTCTCAGCATGATCCTTGAAGGGAGATGATCTTTTTCTCCCAGCTTCTCAAGAACAACAGCGGATGGTGTCAGAGAGATTTCTCTCTCTTGAACCACACTGCTTGCTGCTTTTACAGTTTTTTTTCTACCCTTAGTCTAGCCTCTTCAAAGCATTCTTTTAATTGTGTAAATCAAGAGGGTCCCAAGCCATAATTGACAGGGAAAATCCTGTTATATAAACAGTTTAAATTCAAATGAATTACCATTTTCAGTGACAAGGGGTTATCTGGTTTGAAACATCTCAAGAAACTGATTAACAACTAGGAAAAACATTAAGTTTTATGGAGTAACCAGACATGTAGGAGCCAGCTTGAAATTATTATGAATAGAAGACATACTGGATGGGATACTACATTGCTTCTTGTCAGATGCCTTAGCTATGCTTATAGCATCAGGGTTTTGTATTTTACCTGTTGTGAATAAACCTCAGTTTAGCATAGGTCTCAGATTTTACTGCAGTTTTTTAACAGACTTAAGGAGATTATTGGAGTGTTCATAAATTTTGTGGGGAGGACCTCCACCAGTCGTCCCAGGAAAAGTGTGATAGCATTTGTGGTCAGGGCTCCAAAGGGCTGGATGCTGTAATAAACCCTTAACCATTGTTCAAATGTTGCCCATACCTGCTCTGACTCAGTTTCTTGCCTCAGCATTCCCTAACCTGGCAACTGAGTTTTAGTCAATCAAATTTAAATATCTGTCCCATAGTGGGACCGGGGAA